GCTCTCAGTTCAGAGGGTTCCAATCCAATCCAGCATGGTAGAGAAGGCTCGGCAGAGGTTGGGGGGGCTGGAGCTTGTAATAGATGCCTCTCACATGGCAGATCAGGAAGCAGCATGCCACAGAAGTGGGGCTGAACTTCTGCCTCTAAGGACCGACCCCCAGCGACCTGTTTCTGTGGTCCAGGCCTCGCCTCCTTTAAAAGGTTCCAGTCTTGTAGAACAGTGCCACCCTCTGCGGAGCACACCTTCAACACAGGAACCCAAGGTGGACATTTGAGATTAAAACCTTAACATGGAGAAAACTTAACAAGGAAATGGGATGTGTTGGAAGGCTGCAGGTTAAAGTTGAGGGGATCAACAAACCAGATGTCATGGGAACCAGTTGGCTGGTGTTGGAGGAAATGGCTGTTTTGGCAGTTACAGAACCCCTCACCCACGCACATTGCCCCTGACACTCTATCAGGACCAGTATTAGGCTTGAGATAGGAAAATTTGCTGGGACCTTGAAACACAAGTTGAGAAGCTGAAGAGTTGTTAAGAACAGTTACTGCTCTTCTAGAGGTCCAATTGAACTCTTCTAGAGTTCTAGAGTTCAATTCCCATATCAGGCAGTTCACAAATGCCTGTAACTCTAGTTCCAGAGAAATCTGACATTCTTTTCTGGCTTCCCAAAGCATCTTTATGCATGTGTACAAACATGTTCCCATCACCACATATAATTAAAAATGTTTTTAATGTAAAAAGTCCTTAGAAAAACAAAGGGGCCAGGAATGTAGCTCTGGTAGGGTCCTTGATTGTGGTGTCCACGAAGCGCTGGGTCCAATTCCCAGCACCTCGTAAACAGGATTTGGTGGCACATTCCAGTAGATGGCAGCGGCAGACATGGAGGCAGGAGGACCAGAAGCACAAAGTCATCCTTGGCTACACATTGAGTTTGAGATCAGCCTGGAATACACGAGACCTTGTCCAAATGAACTAAAAAGCAAAACAAAGTACCTTGACGTTAGTCACCTGTGTACAAAAGGGGCAACCTTATTCTTGAGATTTTTTTAAAGCCTGTTTTACCTGTTGGGTCAGCCTGGCCATACAGCATCTGTCCCCTTTGCATGTCAGCAGGACTTCTGTTCAGCTGCCATCTGTACTTGGGTGTCAGTGTTTGTCTCTTTGGTCCTTACCCTCCTGCCCCAGAACCTGACACCTGGAAAACTTGCTAAGCCATTATCTTGGTTGCTCATTCTGTTCCGGTGAAAGGTTTACATATGACTTGTCCTTTTGAGTCAGTGAGCAAGTGAATGATACCCTAGGAGAAGTGACAGTCACCTGCCTCTCCCCAGGTGTCCTCTTGTTGTTCTCTTAAAATTTTATTTTTATATGTACATGTGTTTTACATGCATGTATGTCTGTGTACCATCTTTGTGTAATGACCACAGAAGCCAGAAGGTGGCATAAAACTTCCTGGAACCAGAGCTAGAGAAAGTTGTGAGCTATTAAGTGCTAGGAACTGAACCTGTCCCATCTGCAAGAATAGCAAGGGCTCTTTAACCACTAAACCACCTTCCCTGACCCTCTTTAATTTTTTTTTTTAATTTGTTTTTGAAGATGCTTATGTGTATGAATATTTTGTCTCCAGGTATGTATATGTACCACATGTGTACAGTACTCACAGAGGCCAGAAGAGGGCATCAGATCTGGAACTGAGTACAGATGGTTGTGGGCCATTGTGTGGGTACTGGGGGCTGACTGGATTGAGAGATGTCTAGGTTTGCAAACATTGCTGTCTGTTTCTATGACAACATGTCCAGAAACATTTAGATCATGAAGGCTCTGACCTAATTAATGGATCCATGGCTTGATGGATTCACCATTGGTTGACATTGCTGGGAGGTGGTGAAAGGTAGGAAAGAGGTGGTACTTATTGAAGGGAGATGTGATAGCTTGCCCTGGCCTTTTCCTGTGTTCCCATCTCTGCTTCTTGGATGCTGTGAACAATCCCTCATCTACAAGTTCCTGTTGTCATGGTGTTCTACCTCACTCAGGCCCATGATCACACACTGAACCTCCCGAAACTTTGAGCTAGGACATCATTCTTCCTTTTAGCTTTTATTTTATGCATATGGATGTTTTGTTACATGTATGTCTGTGTACCATATGGGTACCTGGTAGCTGCAGAGACCAGAAGAGGTTGTCAGATTGCCTGGAAATGGAGTCACAGATGATTGTGAGCCACCATGTGGGTGCGAGGAGCCGAAGAGAGCATCAGCCAGTGCTCTTAGCCACCAAGTCATCTCTCCAGTCCCTTCTTTTATTAAGACAAGGTCTCACTATGTGTCTCAGGCTAGCCTGGAACCCTCCATCCTCCTGCCTGATACAGCTTTGTATCATTTATTTAAAGCCATTGTTTTGGGGCAACTTTTTACACTGCATCAGGTAGCTGATACAAACACTCCTCACTTCTGGCAGTTTTTGAGACTCAAGGTGTGTTACACCTGAGGGTTATTCCCGATTCCTCTAGCCCATGACCTATGTTCTCCAAACAATATGGAAAGGAGGGAAGAAATGAGACATGATCCTGGATAAATCAACATAAAATCAGACAACTGTCAGCCAACATTCTTTTTTCCCCGTCATTTAATGAACACTTTACAAAGTACAAAATATACTGTCTTTTTTAGGGGGAACATTAGGTACTTTTTCTCTCCATCATACAGTACACAACTCTCAAGGGTTTTGTTTCTTTGACAAAAAACGAAAGCATGAAGGCCCTGGAGGAGGAGAGAGCAGGACTCGAGTCCTCCCCTCACCCGAGCTGCAGGGCCAATGAAGTACCACTGTTGCTGGTGACCTGGGCACGACATGCCAGGTGAGGGGCGACTGGGGCTGTGGGCAGGGCACCCACACCTGCTCCCCTGCCTCAGGATAACGGAAATGATTTTGGCATACGAGAGGAGGGCTGGGAGAACTACTGTTGCACGTTCATCTCCCTGTTTGTTTGGGGGCTGACCCTGCTCTAACTTCCTGTGATACAGGTAAACTGAGGCAGTCCAAAGGGAAACCGTGCTAGGCTCTGCCCATGGAGACTTGAATTCTGCCCATTGCTGGGGCCTCTAGCCTTGTGGACCCCTTTCCAAGATGAATTCCTGGTAAACAAGGGGCTCCTCTTGTCTCCAGCCCCTCTCCCTACAAATACTGTCTGCAAAATTGAAATGTCTGAAGAGTCCCATGGGTGGGCCTGGGCCAGCTCAGGCTGCCTGCATGGACTCCCCAGACCTCTGAGGGCAGAGTCTTTCCTGGGAATGCAGAAAACAGGGGAAGGAGCCTATCCCATCAGGGCAACTGCCACGTTCCACCTCAGAGCCAGGGCCTGCAGCCACCACCCCCAAATCTGGTTAACTGTGTGTGGCACTGGGTTAGGCCAAGGGGTCAAACACTGCATGAAAACAGCTTGTGGCTCTGAGACAGGCTCTGCACTTGTGTGCACACACTCATGCCTAGTACGAGTTGGTACTCCCATCAGCAGTGGAGAAGTTTTTGTTTTTATACACACACACACACACACACACACACACACACACACACACACACACGTAAATATAACCACACGGAACACCATCCTGACACACAGGACAGGGCCACCCTGCACTTTTGACTTTCCCAACTTCCCTGCTCTTCTACCAACTGCCACAAAACACCACCAAACCGATGCTCACAAATGCCATGGCCTCAGCTGGTGCCTTCAGTCCCCCTGGGCTCAGTTAAATGTGTCCTTTTGCTGCTTCAAATTAGGGAACGGACATGAACAAGAAATCAGAGATGTTAGTTCTACTCTTCCACAACAGCCCCACACAACAAAGCAAGGCTGACTGGCTGTCGGCCATCTTGGCCCCGCTTCCTTCCTGGATGTCAAAATGGAGGTCAGCTGCCCCTCCAGACTATACTCTGATCCTTAGCACAATACCCATCATTTGGAAACTCAAAGCTGTCTATCCCTGTTGGAGGGTCCCCCTAATCCTTCATCATCCAGGCTTCCCTCACCAAACCAGATCTCATCTACGGTTTCCAATTCTGCTCACGGGTGGGCAAGGGGTGTCCTATGATGCTTAATAGTCATCTTGACAAGATCTAGAACCACCCAGAAGACAAACCTCTGCTTAAGTGTGTCAGGGAGACTGGGATTAATGGAGGTGGGAAAACCTACCCTGAATGTGGGCAGCACTGGACTGAATAAAAGGAGAAAGAGCTGAGCCCCAGGATTCATCTCTGTCTTCGTCCTGACTGTGGATGCCCTGTGACCAGCTGCCTCGTGCTCCTGCTGCCACGCCTTCCCCACTGTGATGTACTGTAATCCTGTCAAAACAGATCCTTCCTCCCTTACACTCCCTTTGTCAGAGTTGCCCTAGCCAAGAGGAGCCTGTGTTGTCCCCACATCCAATCCAGAGGCTCTGGTGTGTGACTGAGGATTTTTAAGGGTCAGCCTGGGAAATGTGGCTGGGAGATGCTGGTAGCTCATGCGTGGCTCAGCTCTTTGACGATCGTGAGCCTTACGAGGGGTGGGCTGCCCACGCACAGGAGCTAGCTGCTTCCCACCTGCTTGAGTATCTTTTGACTTCCACAGTTCCTTCTCCATGCTACAGGGAGAGCCACCTCACCAGCCTGAGCAAACACCACCTGACTGGCAGCAGACTGAAGCAGGTCCCTAGACTCCACCCATCACAAGCGGAACCTGTTGTCTGCAGCTGGTGGGGCAGGGTGAATGCTGACACTTAGGAGGCTTGAGGAAGCGGGTTTTTTGGGTGCACTGTGTGTGTGTGTGTGTGTGTGTGTGTGTGTGTGTGTGTGTGTGTGTGTGTGTGTGTGTGTGTATGTATGCCTGATGCCTGTGGTGAAATAGGAGGAGAGGCAGGGGTTAACTAAATGCTTTCTTTTTCTTTTTTTTCTTCTTCTTCTTCTTCTTTTTCTTCTTCTTTTTTTTTTTTTTTTTTTTGAGACAGGGTCTCATGTAGCCCAGGCTGGCCTTAACTTGCTGTGCTCTGTCTGCTTCCACCTCCCAAGGGCTGGGAATCCAACCCAGGGCTTCATGCATGCTAGGCGAGCACACTATCACGCTATCCACTGAGCCATACTCCACTGTGAGCTTTTCCAATTAGTTTTTCAGGCAGACACAAAGCACTGGAGTCCATGACTTGGTAGCCCTGTGCAGGGCACCTGTGTTTCCCAGTACTTCACCTTCTGAACAGCCCTATTCTCCTACCATGGAGTACTTGCCTTAACACACAAGGCCCTGCTTATAGTCCTCAGCAGTGCAGGAAAATACAAATTCCCCTAGAGAACCATGACTGCTGACTGCCATGCCACTTAGGTCACCTCTGAGGCTGGGTCAGCAGGGGCTGGAGTGACCACCACATCCATAAAACCAGGAGATGCAAAAATGTAGGGAGACAGCACTAGAAACACAAGAGAAGTAGAGGGCCTCAATGGGGTCTATGAGGCTCCCACCCCCAGAGCCTTTGAGACTATGCCATGCCAGTGCTACCCACAGAACACAGAGAGCCAGCTTCCTCGTAAGGACCCAGTAGCTAAAGAGTGGCGTCCTTGGAAGGCTGGCAGGCAGAACCCAGGCCTCAGCTCCTCTCCCGACGCACAGCTGGGCTGATGTGTGGTGTTTTGGGTCCTATGGAGTCAGCTCTAGGAAGAAAGCAGGGGAGAGAACCTGAGATTCCTAAACTAGCAGGAATTAAGGGGAAAAAATCAGCCAGGCATGGTGGCGTACACCTTTGATCCCAGCACTCAGAGGCAGAGGCAGGCAGATTTCTATAGTTTCAAGGCCAACCTGGTCTACATAGGGAGCTCCAGGACAGCCAGGGCCATATAAAAAGACCCTGCCTCAAGAAAACAAGTAACACACACAACCATAAATCAGGTAAGATGCCAGACCTACAGCTTTCTATAGAGAAGGGGCTCTGGGCAGGAAGCTAGAACACAATGTGTTTATCAGACAGTTTTTGGAGTAACCCTAAGGGAGGGAGCCACTGTTAAAATGCCCCCTCCCAAAAAAATCCCAATCCCTCTCCTGGATCAATGTCCCCCCAAATAAAATAAGAGCATTCAAAGATCTAGGCTGTGGGAATGGGGGTGCAGTAGCTATAAAGCAGACCACGCTGGCCCTCTAACCATGTTCCAGATGCAGTGGGCTGGTGGTTTTGTCTCCCCTCCAGGCTGGCCTCAAGAACCCCAGGGCTTTTCCAATCATTGTATTGCCTACATATTCAAATTAAAAATATACGGTGGCTCAAATGTCCCCGTGTGTGCGCACATGAGGTGGGGCCCTTGCCTATGTCCTGCGCACATGGAATATATTAACATATATATTGCTAAAGTATATATGCTATTTACAGAATATATCTCTATTAACATAAACACGTATTTATAGGTGTGTACAATACACAGTTTCATCCTAGCAAGTCTAGGGGGCCACACAACTCTGGGGCAGGGAGCATGGGGCCAGCACACTTACACAGTGGGAAGGGAGAACTGGAAGGCAGGACTGAAGGGGTTACAGAGAGGTGTGTCCTGGACAATCAAGGCCTTCCAGGGTGAGAAGAAGGGGACTCAGGGGCCTCACTATGGCCCTGCCTACTTGGCCATTTCCCTTCTAGGACCAGAAAACAATTGATAAGATTTGGTTGTTTTGTGCAAAAGGAATTAAAGAAACCAAACCCCACCAGAGGTAATTTTGATTAGCATGCTGGGTTGTGAGCTTCTAAAGGGTTCTAGAATAGATAGATAGATCCTCCATCTGGGTTTGCTTCTGTGGTCTGGAGAAGGGAGGAATGCAGTTTGTACTGAGACCCATACAGGGGTAAATAAACATTCTCTCCTCTGACCTTGTTGGAGACAGCCTTGACAGGCTTGAGAAAACACCCCAAGAGCCTAAGTCTGCTGGACCCCATAGTCCAAGCTCATGGTACCATTCTCAGGTGCCATTACCACCTCTGATATGCTGGGGGACCCCATTGGGGGTACTGTGGGGGTCCTGGTGTCTTATGCCAGAGCTTTGTTCCTAATAACCCTCCTCAGAAGACAAGGCTAAGATTCTTAGGATACATCTTTGCATTCATGTATGTCTCTGGAGAAACGCTGTACTGCTAAGTGCCACTGAACCCTGGGCACCCAAATAAGACTCTAACAGGCCCCATCTCCTCCAAACAAAGCTACTCATTCCCCAGTCACCTGTATGCAAACAATTAAATAAAAAACTGCAAGGGTGACTTTTTTTTCTCATCGTAGCCACCTCCCGGTTGTCATCATGGCTATGGACTGCTGGGTGTATTTTGGGCAGGTATATGAGCTGGGGGCTGAGGGCTCTTTGTCCTCTATAAGTGGGGTAGAGAGGATGATGAGGGAAACTCTAGGCTGGTCTAAGTGACATCTGGGGAGGTGGACATGGCCCAAGGCACTCCAGGCCTGGGCTGGTGGGGATATCCATTGCTGGGAGGAGACTGTGCCCATGTTGGGCCCAGGGAGAACAAACAGAGGACAGATAGAAGCTGGTGCTCTAGGCTGGTGGGAAAGGAGGCATCCTGGGATTCCTTCCTCCTCCAGGGACAAGTGCTCTTGGTGGGAGGTTGGCCCAGGACCCCTCTTGGCAGTCATAGTGGGAACTGACACAGGCCCTGTGTGGTCAGCAGGTGGGTTCTGGGGTCTTGGTCCCCTCCCCCAACTTGGTAGGAGGCCCACAGCTACTGTCTGAGGCTCACTGGCCATTATGATCTGAGGGTGGCCTGCTGGCCTCCATCCTGAGGGAACCAGCCCCTGAGCCTCTGAAACTGGAGCAGCAACCATACCATTCATCCTGGGGGGTTTCTCATGGGGGCTTCCCCAGCTTTGCACACCCAATCTTGCTCCACCACCTGAAGATGTCCCTAGGTACATCGGGACCCCAATCCCAATGTCTTGTGGGAGGTGCCAGCTTCCTTTGGTGTTTGCTGTGGGCTGTATGTGAGGCCTGGGGCTGTTCCCAAGCCCCCTGGGCCTCAGAGACTACTTTCTGGGGTGGAACTTGGGGGAGGAAGATGGGCACATCCCCACTGGGGAGAAACTGAGTCATTATTGAAAAGGCTGGGGGTTCTGGAAGGCTGGAGGTGGATGTGGGGGTGGCCTTGGCTTGGGTACAGGCCTGGAGGAGTCAGGAATCAGGGGAGTGTCCCAGAGGCCCCTTCCTTAGGGTTCCGGGAACCTTCTTTCAGTCCATAGGGAAATACTGCAAGAATAACCTTCGTGGGGGGAAAGGCCCAGGTGGGCTGTGGCAGGGAGGAGCCCAGAGATGAGCTTTTTCTAATGTTTCCCTCCTTGACTGACCTTCAGGGCGTGGATAACCCCGCTGATATTCTCTTCTGGAACCTAGAGGGCAGGAAGCCAAAAAAAAAAAAAAAAAAAAAAAAAAAAAAAAAAAAAAAAAACATTATCTCAGGAGCTCATTCCCTCCCTGCACAGCCAGTCCATGACTGTTTCCAGGGGCTACTCACCAATGCATGGTCGAATTTGAAAGTACTGATGTAATATGCTGGGATGTCTGCAGCTGCCAAAGGCTCAGAGATCTGGGCTACAATTCCACTTTTGTCTAGGGAAACACAGGTGCTTAGAGCCTAAGCAGGTGCTCTACCACTGAGCCACACCTCAGCCCCTCACTGGGGAATTCTAGGCAGGGGCTCTACCACTGAGCCACA